TATCTTAAAAAAAACACCTTTAGTTTTTCCCCATTGAGTATGGTGTTGGCTGTAAGTTTTTTTTTTATATAGCCATTAGCATGATACCTATGTTCGAGAAGGGGAGAATTTTATACATTCTGATATTGTGCTACGATCCTTTCCTTTCTCAACATGTTGGTGTTATTTTCCCAGAGAAAGCAGAACCTCCAAACAGAGAGGGTTTACCCACCTTTTACTCTGAGGTCTGCCCACTATTCCTCTGGCAGGATTCGTTTTCAAAAAGAAGAGGCCACTTTCTTAGCAAAGCTTCTAAACAGTGCTGAAAAGCAAATCAGCTGCTGTGGCCCCAGAAATGACAGGTGGTCTTCTCAGGATCCACATTTCAGGCAAACTGTATGCAAATTTCCCTCTGGCTGCTCCTTTTCACATTTTCCATCTCCTATTAGTCTTTCCAGATCTGGCCCATCTCTCGGAGTCCCTTTCTCATCTAACCCCTGAACTCTTCCCACCTTGTTGCTTTCAAAATTTTTTTTTATTTATTGATTTGAGACAGAGAGACATTGATTTTGTTGTTCCACCCATTCATGCATTCATTGGTTGCTTTTTGTATATGCCCAACTGGGAATCGAAACCACAACCTTGGTGTATCAGGATGACACTTTAACCTACTTAGTTACCCAGCCAGGGTCCTTGTTGATTTTTCTTGACCCCAATTAGCCATTTAGTTGGCTGGGAATGAATGCCTGGATGGCCTCTGACATGCACCTCCAGCTCAGGGAACATACTCTCTGTGGGCTTTTGAAAGCTTTCAGGTTGTGTCCATGGTATTTCATGAAATACCTTCTCTAAAATGTAGATAGTCAATGCATTGCAAATGAGGGGCAGCATGCAGAAAAGGGGTTGCTGGGTCATATGGTAGCTCTACCCTTTTTTTAAATCCTCACCTGAGGGAATTTTATTTTATTTTAGAGAGAGAGGAAAGGAGAGAAATAGAGAAACATCAACTGTTTGCCTCCAGTACCCACCCCAAGTTGGGATCGAACCCACAACCTAAGTATGTGCCCTAGCTGGGAGTTGAACCTGATGCGTGGGTCACCGGCCAGCAGTGATCACAGAACGCTGCAGATGGCTCGATGATACGCAAGAAAAAACGTGCACAGAGACAAACTAGTTTCTGTGGAGAAGTAGGGACGGAATGGCCACCCCCTCTAGTGGGGAACACACCGATTTACCATCCAAACCTGCTTTTATTGGGCTTGTTTTGCATAATAATTCAGGTAAAGTACAATACTCATTACGAGGAAGTAAGGAACAATAGATAACCCTTGTTAATAGATAACTCTGTGGGTCTATTTTGAGTCAGGGTCAAAGAGCTGTAAGACTCTGAGGAACAAACTAACTTCCTCCTGGGACCCTTCTCATTCAACTGAGAGCATTCTAAACAAAGCAGGTTTCACAGGAGTTTACATATTCTTTCTTAGGCCTGATCACCCGGAGAATCTGCTCTTTTCAGCACAGAGCTGCACCACCCTATCGTTTCAGGCTTAGGTGGAGCATGGGAACTAAGGCAACCAAGAGACAAGGAGATTTTTCTCCTAGACGATGAGAACTCAGGCTATGTCAAAGCAAAGGAGCGAGGGTCCATCACCCCCTTTTGCTGTAGCCCCCAAAGTCCTTCTTTGGGGGGCCTCTCACGTGATCATGCCTGTCTTAGATCGTTCCCCCCTTGGGGAATCTTACCCGTCTTTGGCTAACCGACCAAGCTTTGGGGTTCAGTTATGAATGAAGCAGCAGAAGCAGTGCTCCTGCCAGGGAGATAAGCTTTTGTCTCCTTGCTGGTTTACGGTTCCAAGAGTGTTCCCTTAGCCTTAGCCTAGGCGGGGGTTTCAGCTTCTGATACCAGTCAGGGTGGTTCCCAACATGAACCTGCAATCTTTTGGTGTATGGGACAATGCTCTAACCAATCCAGCCACCTGGCCAGAGAAAAAGCTCTACTCTTAATTCTTGGAGGAACCTCTATACCATTTTCCATAGAGACTGCACTAATTTACATTCCCAACAGCAGTGTGTTAGGTCCCCTTTTCTCTAACACTTGCTATTTCTTATCTTTTTGATAATGGCCATTCTAAAAAGGTGGGTCCCAGAGGGGAAAGGAGGTGGGGAGGGAGCAGTGGGTAATGGGGGTCAAATATATGGTAATGGAAGGAAATGAGATTTCTGATGGTGAGCACACAATAAATTACAGAGATGTCAAATTATAATGTGGTATATCTGAATATTGTATGTTATTAACCAATGTTGCTCCAATAAATTTAATTTTTTTAAATGGAGGGTACCATGGAGAAGTGGAACTTTACTTGATTGAGGAAGTTTGACTTAAAAGAAGTGCTAGGTGAAACAGTTGTATTTCCTTTTGAATTTTTTTAAATTGGTTGAGAACCTCTAGAAGAATTCTAGAGAATGGAGTTGATTGTTTCTAACCAGAACACAGAATCCCAGTGATTTCCTTGCTCTGTAAATCAGGCTCCAGATAGACAGCCATGGTCTTGTTGCTGCAGAACCTCAGAAACATTAACACAGCAAAGGCTCACTGAATACCTATTCTGGAGCAAGGCTAGAGAGAGATGGAGAGATACAAAGATGAAAAAGATATAGTCCATGTCCTCCAGGAGTCTATAAGCAAATGAAACAACCAGGCATGTAAATATAGACATACAAAGAAAGGATCAGTGTTAGTACATCACATAGTCAAAATATGGTACTCCTGGGTCTCTGCGACCCTCTTGGGGGCTTGAAAGGTCAAAACTATTTTCATAATCATACCAAGAAAAGATTTGACTTTTTTCCCTGTTATAGTCTTTCATGAATTTTTCAGACTACAAGATGTGTGAGAATACAAAGCATATGACATGCATGTTTATGTATTCCTGAATTTAAAAAATTCTATCTTAATTTCTAATATATCATATCAATAGCTAAAATGCACATATGTACAATTCTTCAAGATCCTCAATAATTTTTGAGATCATAAAGGGGTCCCAAGACCTAAAAATTTTGAGAACTGCTAAGACGGTATACCATTACACATTGTCTTCTTTTCTCCTTAATGCATTTTATTGACTAAAAAGTATTTCATCTAATTCCATGAATATTACTTCTCTCGATGCTTTCCCTATATCCATGTTTTCTAGCAGGATAGCTATTAGGTCATCAAATTATGTGTGTGTGTGTGTGTGTTTTAATGTCTGTGTTTAAATGTCTTTTGAGGCAGCACAGTGTTGGACTTTATTTTTTAATTCAGACAGCAATCAACAATAGCTGATGCACTTGTTTTACATCCTATCACCTTGCTGTTTATCTTACTCATTGTTATTTTTATTTCTTTAAATTGTGTTTTCTGTAGTGCATTTTAAATTTTTTCTTTTTTGTCAGACAATAAACTTCCCTAGTTTGTCCATCTATTATTTCAGCACCATCATATTCTCAAGAAATTTTTTTGTTTCCTGTAATTGTATTATTAATAGTATAGTGTTTAAAAAACAAAACTTAAATTCCCTTCCTTCTAGAGATGAAAATGGAGTCTAGCCTGTCATATACCTTAGTAGCATAAAGTCATCTATAAAATTATGCACATAACTCTTTCATGCAGTTCTGACAGTACATAATATGATTTTCCACTTACACTTTCTTTATTTTTATTTTTTCCTCCATGGACCTTGAGCTCTGTCTAGCCCTCAACTGTTCTAGATCTCCATTGTTTTCTAGAAGTAAAATTTACAGCTGTGGGCCTATATTGACAAACTATTTCATCTCCCTGGGCCTTACATTATTTTCCCCTACTCTGAAGTGAAAATTCAGTGAGTGTTGCCAGATACTGTACTTGGGGTCATGACTCCATTTGTCTTAATTCTGTGTGAATCCCCAAACTCCCACCCTCAACCCATATTCCCCCTCCAAAACTCATTACCATTCTTATCATCACATTTGCATGGTTTTCTCAGCTCCCTTAGTAACTAGCAGAATTCTGAATTTGCTTTGTGATGGGGTAAATTTTATTGTTTGGTTAATTGGCTTTAAGTTGAAAAACATAATAATAATATATCTTAAATTTGCTCTTAAAGGATTGCCCCTTAATGAATTCTTACTACAGGCATACCAAAGTGGTTATTTCTATATTTCTGTGATAAATTCTAAATTACTAGAGAACTTCACCTCTATGGTCCTTTTATTGTTACCAGATCAATTTTTAGATGGATATGGGCCTTTCAGCCCAACTTTGCTTTAACAGTGCTAGTTGCTTTTTCTCCTGCACCAGATCTCTTCTAGCACCTTCTCCAAGATTCTTGTTCCTCTATAGCATTTATAAGGTCCAATTTAATAGCATGGTGCCTCTTTTTCCTTTAGCACTCATTATTTCTGCTTTATTTGCTATTAAAGTAATAAGTGTACATTCCGTTGCACTTTCCTGAAGAGTCTTCAACTGGTCTTGGGTTTCCTGCCATCTAGGTTCAGCTGGCTTGCATTCCTCTTTGATGTTGTAATACAAGTTAATTGAACTTGAGTGTGGGGTTTATAGGCTTGTTTTCTTTTTATTTTTCAAGAAGTACACATATTTTCTTAAGGTTATTTTTCTGTTTTGTGCTAATATTTTTAATTCTTTCTGACTAGGTGGTGGGGCCAAGGGCAAGATTTGGCTTATACACTTGGCTCTCTTTGCTATTAGTCATATTTCCCCAGAAGCCACACGCCCACATTCTATTTGTGACGTACACTTTTGTAAGGTTGTTGATTCTTGGTGGGAATGGTTTTAAGAGAAAAAATGGGCTCAGGGTACTGATGCGTGGGAATCCAGTCCTGAACAGTCATGAGCTTAGACATCTGTAAGTCTCTTCTTAGTGAAATGGAATAAATATCGTGCATTGTGAAATCTACCACAAAGGCTGCCAGTACAAATGGGATCTCACTTATAGCCAATCACTGCTCTTACAGGAAACTGGCTAGCACTGCCTGAGATTACTCCAGCCGCTCATGCCTGATGTCACAATTCAGAGTCTGCTGCCTGCCTAGGATATTGTCGAAAGTTGTGTAGATCCTCTCTGTCTGTCCTACAGGGCTCCTTGTGCCAGATCCTTCTCCGATGGCTCTTATGAAAAACTATCTCCTCCCCATCCTGGGGATCTTCTTGGCCTGCTACTACTATTCTGCAAATGAAGAATTCAGACCAGGTAAGGACCTATTTTGTGTCTAATTTGGAGGAATAGATTTTTACCTCAAAACCATGGTTAGCTGGAGTGTCTGAGGATCATGATGATTTCCTGATCCCCAAAACTGCTGAACGACAAGGGACCCTGAGGTGGGAGAGTATTTCTGTGTCCTCCAGCCACAGGCTACAAGTAATAGCAGTACAAAGAAGGGTAATCATGTGGTCAAGAGAGTACCAAATAGTCCATGTTGTATTTGGCACCCTTAATGAAAAAGCAATTTCAGATTCCCTTCAAAAGTGAGGTTAATACTAAAATTGACAACTCGGCCAAACATCCAGGCTCAAGGGACAGACTGATAGTAGGAGGCAAGAAAGTAGTCTGGAGCTGATGACTAAACAGAAGTGAGGGGAAATTCCTGGAATCTCTGTGAGGACATGGTTTGATGGCTTTTGCATTTTATTTCAATTGCGCAAAACTGGCTGAGTTCAGAAACATCTGGAACCCTAGTGTTCTAGCTGAAACTTCTGTCCATAAAGGTTTTTTTAGGAAACAACAGTAGGAAGGCTTGTTTTGAGAAAGCAAGCCAAACCCCCATTTCAGAGCATATTCAAGGGAGACTTGAGCTTTCCTTCACTGATTTATGCAGTTTGAGATAAGTTGACCTGGATTCATAATATTCACTCGTTGAGATTAGGTGCCCACACCCAGCACAGGAGGAGGAATTTTGCTGCCATGTTGGGATACTCCTCACTTCCTTTTGGGGTTTCCCAGAGCTGCTCCAAGGAAAGAAAGTGATTGTGACAGGAGCCAGCAAGGGGATTGGAAAAGAGATAGCCTATCATCTGGCAAAGATGGGAGCCCATGTGATGATGACAGCAAGGTCAGAAGAAGCTCTAAAGAAGGTGAGTGTTCTGTGCCCAAAAACACATATATTTTCACCTGTATTCTTATATATACTTATGTATATACACATGCCAACACACAGAGGCTGGCACATCCATACACAGATGCATACACACACAGAAACACACATACACACACTTACAGGCTCACACCCAAATGCCCACAATAATACAAATTTCAATGTTCAGTCCCATGCACATATATATAGACACAAAGTTCTTGGGTTATATATACTCATAGACATGTCTAGGCACACACATATACACACAAGTCATGGATATGTAGTTATGTGCTCAGATACCTAAATTCTTGTACTTACTGAATAATTCATATTCTTGTACCCATGCAAACTCTCAGATACATGCTCTCTCATATGCTCAGACTCACAAACCCAAGGGTATACAAACATTCACAAACCTAGGGCTACCCACACAGAAAGTAGCATTGTTCAGAACATTTCTTCACAGAGACTCATAAACACAAATCATGAACTTGAACACCAGCACTGTTATGATTTCTCTGTACATGAAATACTTTCAAAAAGTCCTTCCTACAGAAGACAAAGATTGTGTCAGGTTGCATTTAGCAACACACACACGTTCACTACATTTACACTCATACACACAAACCTGCTACCACTTCTTATCAAAGCAGAGCTATGAGCAACTTCTTATCTAAATCCCCTTCAGCCCTGGCTGGTGTAGCTCAGTGGATTGAGCTTTGGCCTGTGAACTAAGAGGTCACTAGTTCAGTTCCCAGTCAGGGCACATGCCTGGGCTCTAAAAATAAACAAGTAAATAAATCCCCTTACTTCAGAGTATGCTCCCAAAGGTCTGCAGCTAATACTGACACCAAGATTACTGTGTCCCTGCAGATAGTATCCGACTGCCTGGAGTATGGGGCAGCCTCAGCACACTACGTTGCTGGCTCCATGGAGAACATGACCTTCGCAGAGCAATTTGTTGCCAAAGCTGAAAAGATCATGGGTGAGGCTGCTTCTCCTCTCTCCTTTTCTGGGCTTGCTCTATGGGAATTTGCTCAGGGACCTTTGGGAAGGAGGAGGGAAGGAAAGGTTTCAACCCCAGATGGTTTCTCTCAACACAGTCATTTCTTGCAGGGGGACTAGACATGCTCATTCTCAACCACATCACCAACACTCCAGTGAAGCTATTTACTGGTGATATCCACTTCGTGCGCAAAACCATGGAGGTCAACTACCTCAGTTACGTGGTCATGAGTATGGCTGCCTTTCCTATGCTGAAGAAGAGCAACGGAAGCATTGTGGTCGTCTCTTCAATGGCTGGTGAGTGGGGCAGGGACCAATGTGGAAGGTAGGAGAAGTGCCAGAGATGATGTTGGGGGCTCTGTAGTAAACATGAATTTTTAAATCAGTTTTCATGCAGAGAAGTAACACAATATAAAGTGGAAGATGAAATGCTTAAGCAAAAGTTGGTTAACAGTTTGCCCATATGTGTGGACAGGCAGATATATGAATAAGAGACTTAGGCATGCAAACTCAATGAGGATCATGCATGCTGAGTAAGAGAGATGCTGTTGAGAATAAGGTGGGTGATACAAGGTAGATGGGCTACAAAATGCCTGGAAGGAGTGGAGAAAGATCAGCAGTTCAGAGTGCCTACCAGAAGCCTGGTGTCTTCTTATCTACAAATGGAAGTCAATGCGACATTGAGAAACTGCTGGAGGTACAGCCTGTCCTGATACTAAGGGAGAAACCTGGTCACAATCAATAAAAAGAATTTTGCTTCCTTCATGACTCAGAGGTGTAGGTAGGTGAAGTTAATTGAAATAAAGGTGGAATTGAAGAGTAAAATATTTTAACATACAATTGCTTAATTATTGGGTTAAGCTATGGCAAAATAAAATAAGCAAAAATGACCCCACCATATTATTAACAGACCTGAATATATTGGGGTGTACTCCCAAATCTAAACTTGCTACACTAAAAGGCTAATTTGAAAAATGAACTGGGTAGGGAATGTGTGTGTGGAGAGGAATACTCGTGAAGAGAACTTTGTGTGATCGAGAGAAGTCCCTGATGTTTTGGGTGGTGGCCCCATCAGAAGTTACCACCAGTAAAGAGCCAGAAAGTTTTTAGCTTTGGAGATTCCTAGACCCATTTCATCATAGGTCTAAGAGAAAAGCTCCACAAATATTTGTTGATTAGTTAGTTAGAAGGATGTGGCCGGAAGGTGCCAACACCAAGATTAATGTCAACTGTCTATTTCATTCTTGGCAATGTAAAAACAAATAACCTAGAGGACTTTGTAAGTTCTTAAGTACTTCTCAGAAGTTAGTTATTCCTGTAACTAAAACTGTCCTCTATGTTGCAAAGAGTTCTACTTCCTGGACGGGAAAGGCATGCATAATGGTGGGATAGATAAAAGGGCAGTGACTCTGTGCTACCAGCCAAACAGAGTAATTGATATGCATCCCTATGTTTCCCAGGCAACACAGACTCCCCACCCCTCCCCAGACATAGCCTCTCTCTGGCCTGAAAGGAACAGAGAGCTCCCAGACACATCCTGAGTGGGAAGGGTGCTGGACACATCCCCAACTCACCCTAGGGCATTGGCCAAAAACCTCACATCAATCATGGTGTAGGTGGCTTTAAGGATTTTAGTTGATTGAGTAATACATTTACTCTAGGCAAAGGCATGCATCATCTTTGACTATAGAATTTAACTTTCTACATATAACATATACAAAGTGTGACTGTTCTCAAAAGGAACAAGAACTAGTGTATAAGTCCAAGGGAATGATGAAATTTTGATAACCTCTGTTTTCACACATTTTTTGCACCTGCTAAATGTCACTTTGTAATTTCTGTGGACTCTAGGAGATGGAAATCTAGTCAGACTACTATCCTTCAAGTCTACTGTTTGCACAGCCAAAATAATTCAGTCTGTTTGCTCTAAAGCACATCTGTGAACTTCCAAAGTACAGGCAACTTTGCTTTCTCCCCTAACTGAAGAATTTCTCTGTTCTCTGCCATATTCTTTCATTAATTCTTCGTCCTTAAAATCTGAATTCCACAAACATGGAATGCTAACCCTCAAATTGAGGTCAGCCAACAAATATTGGAATGGATATTTAATCATTCTCCTCAGAGATTGCATTAAATTGTTTATTGAATTACAATGATAAGCAATTGTTTTTGTCACCAATGCATTTCTAGGCACTGCATTACATATATGGAAACCCTTTACTTTTAGTATTTTTTAAAGCCTCAGCTACTTCTTTAGCATCAACAGAGACAGTATTGCTGCTTCCATGAACTGCCTTATAGTCCACATTCATCCACCATACAACACCACTTTTGTCACCTACTGATCAAGTTTCTGTGTATATATAACAGTGATTAGTCCCCTCTCCTTCCCCCAGATGCAGGTTTAGATACAAGTCAAGCTATTATAACCAAAACCCAAATTTAAAATGGCTTAAATAAATCAAAATTTATTTTTTATTTTTTTAAAAGATTTTATTTATTTATTTTTAGAGAGGGAAGGCGGGGGGGAGAGAGAGAGAGAGAGAGAGAGAGAGAAACATCAATTTGTGGTTGCTGGGGGTTATGGCCTGCAACCCAGGCATGTGCCCTGACTGGGAATCGAACCTGGGACACTTTGGTTCCCAGCCCATGCTCAATCCACTGAGCTACACCAATAAATCAAAATTTATATTTCTCTCATGGAACAGCCTAGAACAGGCAGTCCCAGGATGGTAGTTGTCCCAAGATATTGTTTAGGAGCCTGAGAATCACAGAACCAACATCTCTGATGTGTCCCTTGCCTGTATGTCAATGTGGCTTATTATATCAGAATTCCAGCTGGAGAAAATGGAGAAAGAAAGATATGTACAACCTGAAAGTTATACATTTCTCTTCTGCCACAGCTGGCTACATTTGTGGTCTTTATTCAAAATGGACTTGTGTCTGACTGAAAATCAAGGGTTCTATTTCTATAAAAGACATTGATGTTGATAAACAACTAACAGTCCCCCAAATCACTCATGGCAAGGTGCATGTAAGACCAGAAAGCAGTGGGCTCCTTGGCCCAGAGCACCAGAGCCAGGAAGAGGTACCTACATAACACCTGACTGTGAAAATCAATAGGGATTCTGTCTGCCAGAAAGAGACAGAGTCTACTAGAGACACAGGTGCCCTCTTAAAGAGCCAATGAATAAAATCTCATCTGAAGCCACTCACCATGGGCTCCAGTGGAGGAAGGGCAGAGCTGACTAGAGTTGCATGAGGAGAGACTGAGGTTTGTGGTCTTGGGGACAGAGCTGAACGGATAGCCACCAAGACACCTGTACTGAGTCATTCTTCCATACTCCAGGCACCATCTCACTTGGGGGGAGCACTCCTCTTCATACAGCATCAGCCTGGGAAAAAGCAATAGTTCCATTCTCTGAACTTCTTATACCCCCATCCTGCAAAGCCAGTGCCCTGCTGAGGAGTTGGCTGCTTGACCAGAGTATGGATGTCTGGGCAGACTCAGGGGGTGTCAGTAACTGAGTTGTATGTCTTTGGGGTGACTGCCATTCCCACCACTTTTCTGTGAACCTGACTAGTGCCTCCCCCTCATAGTAGATCATCTAGCCCCACCCTTCTGGCTTCCCAGAAGCCCCATCCTCCTGACTCCTGCTGGCCCCACCCTGCTGAGATTTGGGCAGAATTTGGGACCAACTGAGTTGTGTGGCTCTGGAGCAGTGGGGTATGAGAAGAAGCAGCACCCTCCCCAACCTACCTCCAATCCTTATGGACACTTCTCCCAATCCCCAGAAGCCCAGCCCTGCTGAAATCAGACTTCCAGCAAACTCTGGGACAGTCTGAATTGTATAGCTGTAGGATGGAGGAAATTTTTCCCTCGCACACCCAACTAGGGTAGAGCCCTCCCTTCATATGGCCAACTCTTGCTATGCTCGGGCCTAATAAACACTGCTATCCTCACCCTGATGACTCCCTGAGACCCCTGCCTCACCACAAAGGCATGTGAGCGCCCAGCAGTTGCAGCCAGAGTTGGTATATACCTTGGGACATTTGCTGAGTGGCCTCAGACCCAGCACCTCACAGCTTCAACCTGTATTGATCTGGTAAACACCACTCACCCCTGGTAACTCACTGAGAACCTACCTCATGCAACTCAAGTGCCACCTGAGACATTTTACTGACTGAGACTAACAGGCAGATGACATTTGGAGGCAGGCAGAGGCAGATCTTGGGGTGCCTTAGGACTTTTGCTGAACTGCTTTGTGCCCAGTGCTGGTAAACGCTGGCCTCAGTTCACAGCTTACATATACATATTCGCACCCATACATACCTCCTTCCCATACATATTCGCACCCACAAACTGTGAGTCATTTTGTAGCTCTAAATAGGTTGCCCAGAGCCAGTCACAACCATGTTTGACATTTGGCCTGAACCAGAATCCCTCCTAGGAAGCCCCAGAACCAACATACCCAGTTACCAGCTTCAGACAACGTACAGCAGGACCCAGTTAGCTTTGGCAAGTGGCATATCCAAAGGGAGATCTCAGTGGGCATCAGGCCCTTCAGAAGCAAATTCTACTTCATATGGTCATCACCTGTACAGCAGCTCATACATTGAGGTATGAGTTGATCCTCGCAGTCAGCTAGCCTGAGAGTTGACCCCATGTATGAACAAGCCAATAGAAATCAAGACTCAATTACAACAGGAGGGCGCACATTCCCACATAAGGAATATTCCTGGAGCACCCAGCTCAGGTGATCATGGAGACTGTATCACTAGGTCCCACAGGACATCTACTGCATAAGGCCACCCTACAAAGACTGAAAGTCATAGCAGATTTACCTAATACATAGAAACAAACAAAAAGAGGCAATCAAAATGAGGAGACAAAAAAAATGCCCCAAATGAAAGGAAAAATATCCAGAAAGAGCTGAATGAAATAAAGGCAAGCAATTTGTAAGATACACAGTTAAAAAAATGATTATAAGAATACTCAAGAAACTCAGTGAGAGTTTCAACAAAGAGATAACAAGCATATGAATAACATAGAAACCATAAAAAAAACATCAGAAGTAAAGAATACAGTATCCAAAATAAAGAATACAGTAGAAGGAATAAACAGTAGGTTGGCTGAAGCAGAGAACTGAATCAGCAAATTGAAAGACAGGGTAGCAGAAAACACTCAATCAGAGCAGCAAAAAGAAAAAAGAATTTTAAAAAACAAGGACAGTTTAAGGAAACTTTGGGTCAGTGTGAAGTATAACAACATATGCATCATAGGGGTACTACGAAGA